CTTTCCCAATAATCACAAAGTCAAAATTATTTAATGGCACGTCTATGATCACATTAAATAATTTTTTAGAAAAAATGGCACGTTAGTGCAAAAAGGTTCGCCACCCCTGCTCTATGAGGTCTATAATTATTTCCTCTAGTAGGGTACAATACTACCCGGTAATAAAATACGTGGTCAAATTAAAATATTATGGGTCAATATTAAGGTCTGATATCGGGCCTTGCGGTAATATTGAAAAATGACTTCGAATCCAATCCAAAATTTATCAGTTTATAAGCTATTATTCGCTATTTCATAAAGGAAAAATAGTTATTTCTATATACAGAACACTTGATTCACGTTAAATTGTCAAAAAGTATATTAAGCTAAATATTCACGGGGCTGGTATGTGAATCGTGGCGCAGTTGGTAGGGCTGTGATAAAGGATGATTTGTAGTCCCGGAAGTCCTGGGTTCGATACCCTGCAAGGGTCGACTTTAAATTTTTTTTATTTGTATTATATTATGTTGTTTAATCTACTTTTCGACAATTTAGCGTGAATGAAGTGTTCTGTATATAGAAATAACTATTTTTCCTTCATGAAATATCGAATAATAGCTAATAAACTGATAAATTTTGATTATTTTTTATTTATTTAATTATTTTATTTAATGTTATTTTTTTAACTTCTTTCTCAATATNTAAAGAGAATAAAGTATTCTATATGTGAAAAGAATGATTTTTCTTTGTTAAAGAGCGAATAATGGCTGAAAAAGGGACAAAAGTCGTATCTGGAGGCACGCGCACATCATACCCCGTTTCTCCCTATAAAATTAACCTATAAATTTCAAATTCGGCCTGAAATTAGAGTCTAATGTAACAAACAATTGAACCGAAGGAATTTTTTATAGACTAATTAGTGGACCCACAATGTTCCAAAATAAGTTTTGTTGATTATCCGGGAGGAGATGCTTTAAGCTAAATATACGTGGAGCTGGTATGTGAATCGTGGTGCAGTTGGTAGCGCTGTGCGCAAGGGTGATTTGTGGTCCCGGAAGTCCTGGGTTCGATACCCTGCAAGGGTCGACTTTAAATTTTTTTTTTTATTTCATATTATGTTTTTTAATATACTTTTCGACAATTTAGCGTGAATGAAGTGTTCTGTATATAGAAATAACTATTTTTCCTTTATGAAATTGCGAATAATAGCTAATAAACAGATAAATTTTGATTATTTTTTATTTAGTTATTTATTTTATTTAATGTTATTTTTTTAAATTCCTTTCTCAATATTTTTAAGAGAATAAAGTGTTTTATATATGAAAAGAATTATTTTTCTTTGTTAAAGAGCGAATAATGGCTGAAAAAAGGACAAAAGTCGTATCAGGAGGCACGCATACGTCACACCCCGTTACTCCCTATAATATTAAATTATAAATTTCAAACTCGGCCTGAAATTAGAGTCTAATGTAACAAACAATTGAATTGAAGGAATTTTTTATAGACTAATTAGTGGGCCCACGATGTTCCAAAATATTATTTGTTGATTAACCGTGAGGAGGTGCTTAAAGCTAAATATACGCGGAGCAGGTATGAGAATCGTGGTGCAGTTGGTAGCGCTGTGCGCAAGGATGATTTGTAGTCACGGAAGTCCTGGGTTCGATACCCTGTAAGGGTCGACTTCAAATTTTTTTTATTTATTTTATATTATGTATTTTAATATACTTTTCGACAATTTAGTGTGAATGAAGTGTTCTGTATTTAGAAATAACTATTTTTCCTGTATGAAATTGCGAATAATAGCTAATAAACAGATAAATTTTGATTATTTTTTATTTAGTTATTTATTTTATTTAATGTTATTTTTTTAATTTCTTTCTCTATATTTTTAAGGGAATAAAAAGTTTTATATATGAAAAGAATTATTTTTCTTTGTTAAAGAGCGAATAATGGCTTAAAAAAAGACAAAAATCGTATCAGGAGGCACGCACACATCACACCCCGTTACTCCCTATAATATTAACCTATAAATTTCAAACGCAGACTGAAATTAGAGTCTAATGTAACACACAGTTGAACCGAAGGAATTTTTTATAGACTAATTAGTGGACCCACAATGTTCCAAATTAAGTTTTGTTGATTAACCGGGAGGAGATGCTTTAAGCTTAATATACGCGAAGCAGGTATGTGAAGTGTGGTGCAGTTGGTAGTGCTGTGGGCAAGGATGATTTGTAGTCCCGGAAGTCCTGGGTTCGATACCATGCAAGGGTGGACTTTAAATTTTTTTATTTATTTTATATTATGTTTTTTAATATACTTTTCGACAATTTAGCGTAAATAAAGTGTTCTGTATATAGAAATAACTATTTTTCCTTCATGAAATATCGAATAATAGCTAATTGATAAAATTTGATTTCTTTTTTTTTATTTGTTTATTTTATTTAATGATATTTTTTTAACTCCTTTCTCAACATTTTTAAGAGAATAAAGTGTTTTATACTTGAAAAGAATTATTTTTCTTTGTTAAAGAGCGAATAATGGCTGAAAAAAAGACAAAAGTCGTATCAGGAGGCAAGCACTCATCTCACCCCGTTACTGCCTTTAATATTAACCTATAAATTTCAAACTCGGCCTGAAATTAGAGTCTAATATATCAAACAATTGTACTGAAGGAATTTTTTATAGACTAATTAGTGGTCCCATAATGTTCCAAAATATGTTTTGTTAACTAGCATGGAATAGGTGCTTTTAGCTAAATATACGCGGAGCAGGTATGTGAAACGTGGTGCAGTTGGTAGCGCTATGGACAAGGATGATTTGTAGTCCCGGAAGTCCTGGGTTCGATAATCTGCAAGGGTCGACTTTAAATTTTTTTATTTATTTTATATTATGTTTTTTAATATACTTTTCGACAATTTAGCGTGAATGAATTGTTCTGTATATAGAAATAACTATTTTTCCTTTATGAAATTGCGAATAATAGCTAATAAACAGATAAATTTTGATTATTTTTTATTTAGTTATTTATTTTATTTAATGTTATTTTTTTTAATTTCTTTCTCAATATTTTTAAGAGAATAAAGTGTTTTATATATGAAAAGAATTATTTTTCTTTGTTAAAGAGCGAATAATGGCTTAAAAAAAGACAAAAGTCGTATCAGGAGGCACGCACACATCACACCCCGTTACTCCCTATAATATTAACCTATAAATTTCAAACTCGGCCTGAAATTAGAGTCTAATATATCAAACAATTGTACTGAAGGAATTTTTTATAGACTAATTAGTGGGCCCACAATGTTCCAAAATATTATTTGTTGATTAACCGTGAGGAGGTGCTTAAAGCTAAATATACGCGGAGCAGGTATGTGAATCGTGGTGCAGTTGGTAGCGCTGTGGGCAAGGATGATTTGTAGTCCCGGAAGTCCTGGGTTCGATACCCTGCAAGGGTCGACTTCAAATTTTTTTTATTTATTTTATATTATGTTTTTTAATATACTTTTCGACAATTTAGCGTGAATGAAGTGTTCTGTATATAGAAATAACTATTTTTCCTTCATGAAATATCGAATAATAGCTAATTGATAAAATTTGATTATTTTTTTTTATTTGTTTATTTTATTTAATGATATTTTTTTAACTTCTTTCTCAACATTTTTAAGAGAATAAAGTGTTTTATATTTGAAAAGAATTATTTTTCTTTGTTAAAGAGCGAATAATGGCAGAAAAAAAGACAAAAGTCGTATCAGGAGGCACGCACTCATCTCACCCCGTTACTCCCTTTAATATTAACCTATAAATTTCAAACTCGGCCTGAAATTAGAGTCTAATGTAACAAACAATTGTACGAAAGGAATTTTTTATAGACTAATTAGTGGTACCATAATGTTCCAAAATATGTTTTGTTAACTGACATGGAATAGGTGCTTTTAGCTAAATATACGCGGAGCAGGTATGTGAAACGTGGTGCAGTTGGTAGCGCTGTGGGCAAGGATGATTTGTAGTCCCGGAAGTCCTGGGTTCGATTCCCTGCAAGGGTCGATTTTAAATTTTTTTTATTTATCTTATATTATGTTTTTTAATATAGTTTTCGACAATTTAGCGTGAATAAAGTGTTCTTTATATCGAAATAACTATTTTTCCTTCATGACGAATAATGGCTGAAAAAAGACAAAAGTCTTATCAGGAGGCACGCACACATCACACCCCGTTACTCCTTATAATATTAACCTATAAATTTCAAACTCGGCCTGAAATTAGAGTCTAATGTAACAAACAATTGTACGAAAGGAATTTTTTATAAACTAATTAGTGATCCCATAATGATCCAAAATATGTTTTGTTAACTAACATGGAATAGGTGCTTTTAGCTGAATATACGCGGGGCAGATATGTGAAGCGTGACGCAGTTGGTAGCGCTGTGGGCAAGGTTGATACGTAGTCCCGGAAGTCCTGGGTTCGAAACCCTGCACAATGTCGTCTTTAAGTTTTTTTTATTTATTTTATATTATGTTTTTTAATGCACTTTTCGACAATTTAACGTGAATCAAGTGTTCTGTATATAGAAATAACTATTTTTCCTTTCTGAAATAGCGAATAATAGCTAATAAGCAGATAAATTTTGATTATTTTTTATTAAAGAAAACAAATAGTTTGGGGAGGAATTTAGACGAGAGAATTTTTTTTTTTTTAAGTACATAAATAAAAGAAGCATTGTCATAATATGAGTAAGCAAAGTAGCACTATTTCGAAGAAGCTAACATGGAACTGGGAAGTTAGCAATTTTTTTGTGGGGAGATGGGGGCCACTGGGTGCCATCTCGTCTGCAGAGGATCAAAATTGTGATTTCGTGTCTTCGGATCATCCTCAGGGATGTTTCCCAGACCGTCACCAATAGCCTATTGTGCAGCTCTACTACGACGTAAATGCGACTACACCCAAAAAATCTAAAACCGTCATAGAAAACAAGTAAGCTAAGAGCGTGAAAATACTTTCACACAATCTTTCGAAATTAGTTCAAAGCCAACAATTTTTTTTTTTTATTTGCAGCATTTGAATTTGCTTTTAGCATTGGTTGATATAATTACCAAAAGAGTATTTTTAAATCAAAAATTTGACTAAAATTAAAAAAGGTTTTTGAAACTTAACTAAATTGTAATAGCTCTGCTGATGTTGACCCGTGTTAAAGTTCTTGTGCTTGTCCTGCTGGATGTTTCTTGTGACTGCATTGTTGATCATGAATTTTTAATGCGCTAATGAATTTAATTTATGTGAATGTTCGTGAAATTATGTAAACATGTCATTTAAGCCCAGCAAAATTAGTTTTTAAGTAAAAGTGCTATTTTATATTTTATCATTTCGGTTGTTTCAAGTAGCAGTATAAATTATGCAGGGATATATTCGTAATCTGACCTGTGAAGCCAACTAAATTTGCCAAGACCCAGGTTATCCAGGAAATACATCCAGAAATAAAAGTATATGCTGGGATGGGGCGTATATGGATATCATCAGATCGAAATAGTATTTCGATTTTTTCTTTATTTAGGTCGATAGTATTTTTAAACTAGTTTTAGTTTAAATTTATTATAACTGCTCCCTTTTATTTTGAAGTTTTATTTGGGGGTAAATTACCGAATTGTGTAGGATATTATAAATGGTGTAAACCTATTTAGTGTGATCTTGGCAAACAATAATATACAATAATATAATACCTTAATTCTGGTGGCCAAGGGTGTGATAAATATGTATTATATTCTGTAACGATGTAAACAAGAAATTTACTCAATCCGGAAAGATAACAAAACTCAAATAATTCATTTGCTAATTTAAGACAGTGCTAAACATTCAAGGAACTAGCTCATTTGTTTATTTTTTTTCTGAATAAATTTGTGTGTATTCTGTAATACTTAGCTTTGTTAATCTGAAATGTTCTGATGTTTTTAAACATTATTATTTCTCAGAATTCCAATTGCTATTTTTAATTGAAAGATAATCTATATTTCATTGTTCTGTAACTTTTATATTAAGATACTAAGAAAATGTTCATTCTAGACCTTAAAAAGGGCAGGGCACAAGAAGCTTGAAAGAGCCCCTAAAAAAGGGCTCACATCATAAAAAAGAGCATTATTTAAAAATATTTACTTTACTTTTAGGACACCCAAAATATAAAAAGTTTTTAATTTTATCACTAAAAAAATTTTTTGTTGTTGAGGTAATTAGTTTAAAATAATTCCTTTAATTCAATTGGTACATTCTATAAGTTGATTTTAAAGTGAGCGTAATTATGAAATTTTGAAGCGCATGATAAAATATCTATATGGTTCGAGAGTTGGTGCGAAATTTACATTTTTGTAAAATCCTAATATTGTTTTTCTTTTCATGTTGCTTATTTATACACTATTATACTATGCTTATTTATACACTTAATTTAAAATATATTTTTCCTTCCTATCTAGATGATGAAAATCAGATTTTTTTTCTTTTCATGTTTATAATTATGCTTATTCATGCATTCAATTGAAAATATTTCTTCTTTCTTATCTAGAAGATGAAAATGTTGGACATCCTTTTTGGAAGATTGTAAGCATGAAAAAATTGATGGTGGTATCCTTGGTTGTCAAAAACAAGAAGCTATCAGCTGATATAATGGTTAGTCAGTAATTAACAATAAATTTAATTTTTACATTCATTTTGGTGTACTTACCCATTGCAAGAGTAAATACCCTACCCACTGGATATTTACCTGACCCTCATTTATAGTTGCAATCTCAATAAATCGAACCTCATCTTAACTGCAGTGCAACCTCGAAAATCCGGACTGCTGGGGGGTTTGGAAGGTCCGGATTTCCGAAATTTTCGGATTTTAGATACCTTACTTGAATTGATAGAATTATCGAAGTTTCGAATTCGCCAGGATGATTTCACGATTAATCACGCGTGTGTAGACCTCCGACGTCAATTTTAACATAAATATACTCTTTAAATAATAAATAAAAGACATTAAAAATCAAACTTTCGTCATTTTCCCCCCGCAATCGATCGTTTAGATAACGTAATATTAGCAATTAAAACTAAAAATATAGGCTTAAAACGCGAGCTGAATTTAAACTTATAACCGAAACAGATACTTCTAGACTAGACTGTACCAGCTGATACTAATCCTTTTTTTGTTGGGGGATGAAAGAACTTGTCCCCGCCTCCTAAGCTTCATGGTTAAGAAAGAACCAGTTTTCCTTTTTCACAAGGGGGGAAAACAAGGAGATGGAAGAATTCCTCCTTCTGAGGGGATTCCCCTTCAGGAGGAGGGGGATTCCCTTTTATATTCTTTGTTATCTATACAGAACTGATAAGAATGACTGGAATTTCCTTATCAGCTATGAGCATTCATTCATTCCCTACCTCTACCTCTTCATCTACTGCTTCATTGTTGCAAAAGAGTTGTGTGATTCCCCTTCAGGAGGAGGGGATTTCCCTTTATATTCTTTGTTATCCATACAGAGCTGATAAGAATGACTGGAATTTCCTTATCAGCTATGAGCTTTCATTAACACCCCACCTCTACCTCTTCATCTACTGCTTCATTGTTGGAGAAGAGTTGTAGTTTTGCATTAAAATTTTTATTTTAAGCGATTTTTTTTAAATTTTTTCTTTTGAAAATTTTTTCTGAGGAACTGGACTTTCAAAATTAGTTGCTTATAAGTTATATTTTCCTACATTATTTAGATATTATATTTTCTTCTATAACACAACAATTAAAATGTATAGTTAGTTACTAAATTTGCCGCAGATATAACAGTCTTAACTTTTTTTTTATGTGTATTTTTTCAATCCTTTTTTTCATTCAATTATTTTTTCTTTTTCTTCTTTTTTACTATCCCATGCTTTTAGATTTTGTATTTCGACAAATACCCTGGGTATTTACCCAGGTGAATACTTAAAATTCATAAGTGCCTGGGTATTTATGAATTTTATTGAAAATTCTTTTATCATGTTCTTTTGGGTGTTAAAAAATTATATACAGTCGGACCTCTATTTAACGAAATCGCTAAATCCCGAAAAAAAGTTCGTTATGTGGAAAATTCGTTAAATAGAAAATCATCTTTTGAAATACTTCCACAACGTGGAATAGGTTTTAAATTCACG